TATCAGTTCTGATTGTTATTTTTTAAAAATTCCATAGGGATTTCTACATACATAATCATGAGGTCGACAAAAACTAACAGTCTCACTTTTCTTTTACAATTGTTGTGACTTTTTTACTTCTTGATTTATAGTACTGGTAAATAGTTCAGAACAATGCTGAATAGAAGTGGTAAAAAGAGGTTATCCTGCTTTATTCATGATCTTACAGGAAAAAGTTTTAGTGCTTTAACATGAAGTATGATGTTAACTACAAATTTTTTATAGATTTTCTTTATCACATTGGAGAAATTTCTTTTCATTTTTAGTTTGCTGGGAGATTTCATCATGAATGGGATGTTAAATTTTGTCAAGTGCTTGTTTTTGCCATTTTTTGAGAAGATAATGTATTTTTCTCCTGTGTTATGTTGCTATTATGAATAACATTAACTTTTTAATATTAAGCCAGATTTGCATTTCTAGGATAATGCTACTTAATTATATTATCCTTTTTAACATTATAGATTCTATTTGCCATTTTTTTTAGAATTTTTGCATTATAAGGAATACTGGTATATGTGTGTGTATGTGTGTGTATGTATATATATATGTGTGTGTGTGTGTGTATATATATATATATATATCTTTTTATTTTGCAATGTCCTTGTCAGATTTTGTTATCAGGGTAAATGCTTTCTTGTTAATGTAAGTTAGGAATTATTCCTTCCTCTTCCATTTTCTGAAAGAATTTGTGTTAGTTTTGTTATTATTTCTTCCTCAAGTGTTTGATAGAATTTATTATAGAAACCATCTGGGCCCAGAGTTTTATCTTTTAGGAAAGATATTTGATTATGAATTTAATTTCTTTAATAGATAAGGTAGCTATTTAGATTTTCAGTTTCTTCTTGTGTCAGTTTTGGTAAGTTATGCTTTTCAATAAATTAATCCATTTTATTTAAGTTGCCATGTTTATTGGCATAAAGTTGTTCTAATGTCCCCTTATTATCCTTTTAATGTCTATAAGATCATTTTGAAATGACATCCCCTTTTTCATTCCTGATATTTACAGTTTCTTTTTTCTTTTTTTTTTGTCTTGATCAGTCTTCTTAGGGATTAGTTGATTTTATAAATCTTTTCAAGGAGTTAATTGATCTTAAAAGTACTTTTTTTGGCTAAACATTCAAACATTTATTCACTTTCCCACATCATCAATCATGGAGTGCTATGAGCGAACTATTATAATTATGGATGACTATGTCTTACATTTCCTCAGGAAAGCTTAAAACTGTTGAGTGACTATGGTATCCTGTGGAGAATGTCAGTCTTTGGTTGTAGTGTTAATATATTCTGTTTTCAAAGCCCCATAAGCCCTGTTTGAAACAGCCTATTAAATGTACTTTTTCTGAACAGCTGTATATATCAGACACACAAATATTTATTAATAATACCTTAATAATACTGTAGCACTTTCCACAGAGTTTTTGCATGCTTGTTAATATTCAATTCAACTACTTTGTTCAGTAAAGGAAGAGTATAATAGTCATACAGTTCCCAAGCTTCCCTCTAACTTTATACTTCTTTAACATTTGTGTATCCCTGAAGGGATTAGGTAAGAGAGATGAGCATATATATATTTTTGCTGTTGGAAAGATGTTATAATGATAATATACTTTTGGGGAAAAAAGTCACTCATGGTTTAATAGCCCCATGTTTTCACTCCTCTCTATATGAGTATATTTGGGTATCTAGTCTTAATAAATGTATAATTATCTATTCTCTTCTGTCTCCCACTCTGCTTCATTTCACACATTTCGGAAGTTATTTACTCTATATTTACAAGGAACTCTCACAACAGTGCTTTCCTAATACTCATTGAAAATTATAAAGGGAGAGTCCTGCCAAAGTCAATCTCAGTTCTAAAGATGACAGCATGATAACCAAAGAGGAAATAGGAGGCGAAAACGCTGTAGCTCAGAGAAATGGTTAATGATGACTTTAATAATTACCTTGAGTCTTTGAGGGAAAGAGTCAATTATTTTCATTATCCAAGAACGGGAGTACATTTTACTCTGTACATAGAAATGTGCAATACATGCCAGAAAAAAAATGATCAAAATGAGTTATTTACTTATTTCAAACTTTATTATTTATTATTAGCATATTCATTATGACAAATCATGATTTTTCTTTATTCTTTATTCTTTTCTAGGTCTATTACTCCTCAAACCCTTGCTTCCCTCTCC